GGAGGCCTACGAACGACTAGCCGAGTTCTGTGAGAAGCATCGTAAATAAGCGGTTTGACGCAGAAATCAACCTGAATGCTGACTCGAAAGACATGGGAGTCAGGCCTCAGACAACTGATAGTTCTAGTACCATGCCAGTGCGAGCATAGGAATAAAGAACGTGACGTGAGTGTCTTTATTGTATCATTTCTTGTCTGTGATACATCTGAAGTCAGTCAAGTGATGGACCCGAGGGCCGACTCAAAGTCAAGGGGGCCAGGCCTCAGATAACGATAATTTCAGTACCATGCCAGTGCGAGCATAGGAATAAAGAACGCAACCTCAGCATCTTTCGGTGTATTTCAGCAGTGTCGTTTTATCGTGTGTGAGATACGTCTGAAGAAGTTGTGTAGTATGTGCTCAGTCCGCTGAGCTGAGTTGAGCTATGTAGATAACCTTCTATTCTCGGCGAGAACGACGCCTGCTCTGGAAAGTCCCACATAGTAGAGTGGTAGGAAGTTCGGTACTATTAACGCGGCACAATAGCATAAATACATGGTTTACACACCTGGCACTAAGACATTCATAGTAAGACCTGACGACCCAATAACAGGCGGGATTTTTTGTTGTTGCTCTGAATGGTCCCACGTGGTAGAGCGGTGAGAAGTTCGGTACAATCTTCGGGGCGCAATCGCATATAAAGGAAGTGTGAGCACCTGATTCTAAGGCATAGACAGTAAGACCTGACGACCCAATAACAGGCGGGACGGGTTCTGGATTGCGCACGTGTGTATGCGTCTGATATTTAATTGTTGCTCTGGATGGTCACACGCGGTAGAGTGGTGAGAAGTTCGGTACTATCTGCGCGGCGCAATCGCATAAATACAAGGAGGTGTACACACCTAACGCTAAGGCATAGACAGTACGTCCTGACGGCCTACTAACAGGCAGAGTGTGGACTGAATTGTGTATGTCTGCATGTTTGTGCGTCTTGCGGAGTAGAGGTTTCAATTTCAGTAAATGCATTCCCTTGCGCCATACCTTTCATATATTGGTCTGTTTGTTAACGGAGCAGGTTCAATTATCTCCGTGCCCTTGTAAATTCAACAATAAGGTGTAACATCGGGATAGTCTTCAATAGCTTGTCGAGGGTCTTTACAAGGGATTGATGCACACTAATCGTCAAACCACGATATGGGTGTAAGTTGATGAATAGAACACCTTGCCACCGTACAATATAAAACTGTTCCATCACAGCAACGGATTTAACTGATTTGTAGCGCACGGCCACGACCTTGAATAAAACAAAAACGTTTAATATTGACTATCCTCGGATGTACTGCACTTTCACATCTTGTTGAAGTTCTTGTGCTCGGTCATAACCTTGATATACTTTGCCGACTGCGCGCGGAGATTCTCGACCTCTTCCTCCTCTAATTGGCGATCCACCTTGGCCGGGCGGCCAATAATCAGTGATCTATAAATAGACCAGACATAGACATTAGAACAGTGGCCTAAAAATAGATCTGACAAATGATAGAACCACCGAGATCAACCGTATTGCGAAGCAAGCACAGGTTCGTGGCTGGAAGCCAGATACATCGACGAAACCAATACAGACTAATATAAATATAAGGAATATAGATCTATAGATAGATCGATCATACGTGGCTGAATGTTAGCACAATCGAGCCCAAGCGTAGGATGGCGCCAGTACGGGACCAGGGCTTGAGCCAGATACATGGCGAACACTCGAATAAGAAAAGTACAAGCGAAACACACTCATACTCGCAGGCACGGACAGCTACACCCAGAACCCAAAATTGACTGATCTACCCTTAAGTACCCAATGAAACAGCATGCACACAAAGATTCACACAAACACATTACATAGACACAAGCGCGTACAGACACGTGGTATGGTCACCTCTTACGAATTACCGACCGATATGCACATAAGCACGCGCCATAGCTACACTTGTACGTCCGAACATGCGCACACAGAGACTCAACGACACAGGCGAACACTAAGGAACAGAACGTGACAGACACAATATGTGCGCACCCACAGCCGGCGCAAGCTACAGACTGCCATCGAATCCCATACGCAGTATATTAACCTCCCACCCAGGCACCCTACCACACATCAACGAAACCCACAAGCGTGCAGATACGCGAGATGACCACACCCCGCGGGGTGACTGAGGTTTGCGGTACACATTGAAGAAGCACACAAGCACGCAGACACAAGACGAACGAACACACCCACACAAGACTGAGAGACAATTGATACACAGCTATACTAAACACCAAGAAGCCCTGGCATACGCCCCACCAGCAAGAAGAACACAAGCGCACAGACACAAGACGAACGAACACACTAACACAAGACTCAGTGACTATTGATACACGCCCACACGAAACACCAAGAAGCCCTGGTATACACCCCACCAGCAAGAAGAACATATGTGCACAGACACAAGATGAACGAACACACTAACACAAGACTAAGTGACTATCG